TCGCTGCAGAACAGAGGCTTTATTGATGAATGTCTGGGGTCTCTAGCAAATTATTCTTCTGTATCTGACCCATATGGATAGTACAAGAAGCAGGCTTGCTCTTCAAGGACACCCTCACACCGGCTCTGCACATACCACAGTTCAATTGGGTAACCATGTTTGTTTCAAAAGTTCGGGTCATACTTCTGTGAACTCGCATCATGGAGTGTTTTGTGAGTCAATCACTGCATGAGCTGTCTTCGTGATAGACTTACTTTGGAGAGTCCTCCATTCAATATCATATCATTTCGATCCAGCACCTGTACAAGACTTGCGCCAATTAGTCTACGTAGGTTTTAAAAAAAAGCAACTGCCCATATAACTTAATTTCAGAATACATTGTTCCTGCTCTCCTTATTTATTTACTTGTCGATATTATCTATTAGTCTTAGTATCTATCCATTCTTCTCCTTCCCTATGCATTTACAGTATCTACGTTCTGTCCGTCCGTACATTTATCTCTCTACCCATCTGTACATCTATTTATTTACCTATCTATATACCAACCTCTCTCTCTTTATATATATAAATCTTCTTAAACAAACTCTGATTAATTATTTATTCTGTTAGCCTGTACACCTTAAATTAAAATTCTTAACCCTTTAAACCGTTAATATAATGGAAGAGAAATAGAATGTATGCGTGTAGGTACGTATGCACGTTACATAACTCCTGTTGACCAAAATGTTTATTTCAGCGAACTTAATCAAACTTCTTTCTTCAGAAGCATCTGGCATCTTTTTGCGCACTACCAAGTCAGACCGCTGTGTTTAAAGGACAGCTCGGTCTCACCTCCCCACATAATAATGGAACTGAATTCATAATTAGATCGCGGGAAAATTATCCCCGGAAGAGCTGTGGGCTACAGCAGACGGTGCCTGACTTATCTCTCTCTGCTCAAAGCCGTACTTTTCCACCGCGCTCTGCATACAAACAACCCGCTTTTGTCTCCAAGGAAGCCTTCATCAAGGAGCACGGCGTACCCATTATGTTGGCGGTTAACCTATTATCCGTTTCTATACAAAATATTATGTCAAGGTATCATATTAACTGTATGAATTACACTCTGAGATTCTTCTGAACAGATAACAGTGTTGGTAGGCAGGGAGTCTTCGTTATTTTAGTGTTTGTTTCGCTAACCTCATTCTATTTCTCAATTTGTTTTACCCTGCAAAGCATAAGTAAGTATACTTATTTACCATGTAAATACTTTAATATTCAAAAGATCTATATTTTGCCCACGGGGTGTATTATGGGTATCGTGTGATTCCTAGAATAAACAGCGATTAATTCCCTAAACAGCGTTTACCTTGGTAACCAAAATGTGTTGCATTTTATAATACGGAAACGAATTTTTTTAATATTATTCAGATGAGCTTCGTAGTTAAACTATCTTATTTGTCGTTAATATAGCTAATACAGATTGATTGGTAAAACATGAAAAGATAATTATGAATTGGGAAGAATATGAGAGTAAATGATCGTCATATATTTAAATATTTTACGTCAGGCTTTTCAGGGAATTAACAGACTCGCGATGGGTCCTCAACAAACGGTGATCCCTTGCTCATTTAACTGCACTTTTACAACTATATATACGCCAATTTTAAGTGGAAAGCAACAGACGTGATCCTTTTGAACCAAGAACTTGTATTGAACGAGAAAACCCGGAAACCTATCAATCAAGACAGCCGAACTCTAGGCTGAGACTCGAACACGAAACTTCACGAACACAGACACATACTGTCACCATATTCAGAGCTGAAGATCACTATCTATAAATACTGATAATATCTCTGTGACACATGGCACAGTGAAGGATTAATATTCATCATCTCATTCTGTTACAGAATGAAGAGTTTTATTTGTCATAGTGTTCACATATAATTCTTTCTCGCACGAAGGTAATGAGGTAACCCCCAAGTTAATTTCTAATTTCAAATTTGGAATGGCCCACGTTCATCTTTGGCATAACATCTAGTAAAATTATAGAAATCGTCCTCATCATACTTACCTATTGGAAACAGATTCAAACGCCATAAATCTTCTCGTTTCATATATCACCTGTTCTTGTAACTGATTTTTAACATATACTATCGAACAACGCACTCTTAAACAAGTAAAGATAACTTTCTCGTTTTATAATATAGAACTAAAACTTCTCCACTACATACTTCTCACAAAGATACAATTAACTTTCAGTATGAAAGTCAGGAAACTTTTACTATCCAGACGAAACTTGAAAACAAATGTTTCAGTTGTATTTCAAAGAGCTACATGGTTTAATACTTGAAAATTAGATCCATATAAAATTATATACATTCAACATTGCTTTCTCTGTCAAATTTGAAGGGCCTTGCATAACACCTCGAGAGCGAATTCACGGAAATTTAATTTGAATTCATGTTGCTTATACAATTTGTATGGTGTTAGGACATAATGACCGTTAAGTACACAGAAAATTCGAATTTAATTAGTTATTTAAACTAGAAGGACCAAGAAACCTTTTTGTTTACAGATTAATTTAATTTTTTTAATTAAATATATTAACTAATATCAATAATACCCTATGTCCATTGATGGTTGTTCCAGTAAATACAGAATTTACGTCTACGGACAAGGTATTCCATGTTATTAACGTTTTTTGCAGTTCAATGAACATTTCTTGCATCAGATTCTTAAGGACATGTTACATTTTATATTATTTTTGTGAGAATGTGACAAATACATTCTTCAAACTGATAACGTGCGTTATAATATATGAAAGGCGTTAGACCCAACCATTTTTGTAAGCGATAAATCCAGTTTTATTGTTACAAGACTATACGCGGAAAACTCCTGTGTATCTCTCTCTCTCTCTCTCTTCCATGATGCCCTCCTTTTTAAAATAAACGAGCAGATATAAATCTAGAGCTCGATTTTCCACGATCAATTTGTGAAAACGATTCTCGGCTACATACAGGTACTTGCACATCGCGTGTTCTCTCTTCTGTTGTTTTACTGGACAACAAAAACATGCTTTTATCTTTCAGCGAGTTAACGTTTGTCTAAATATAATGTTACAGAGTTCCCGAGAGCACTAGTAGTGTTTAAATATTAATGATTTCCATTCATTGTTAAAATAAAAAACGCCCAGATACACAACAGCTGAAATATTTACCACGGAAATAAAATAACCAGGCTTAGATCCAAATATCTTTACCACTTTGTGTGTAACGAGTTCAGTATCAGAACTATTATCATGTCGACACCACATTTAGTGCTACATATGTGTATCACAAAAAAAAGTCTTCGTGATAGTGAATATGTTCTTCCTCAGACGCTATCTATACAGACATATGCAGCAAAACCTAAGCTTACTGTCTTCTGGATGTTGCACCATTTAATCTAGTAGATAATGAACGAGCATGACGACGGAGGCAGTATATTCCTCCGAAACGTCGTTCAACATCTACCAGACTCATGGTACAACATTCTAGGAGATGGCCTTCTTCACATTCATCGGAGTCAGAGCCTCAAACATCAACTAAAATTCACGTGTCTGTACATGGACTATTACTTCCGATATTACATTTTTAAGATAAAAGTTAAAATATTTTACGTGCAGGGTTATATATATCTTTTCCAGAGAGTCGCCCCAAAATTCGCTTAAGAACATTTTATGAATGAGGTGTGCATTTGAGAAATCATTACTAATGAACACCACTTTTACGGAGATGCATAATTTAAGACAGAATTAAAAGTCCTCGGCATGTTAAGATGGACAGTGATCTCTTACAGTGGAGCCAACAAGTCAAAAATTAATCCTAACTGTTTAACTTCCTTGTGAATTTATTTACTTCATAAACTTACCTTTTTGTTTTGTAGTGTAATTGAGGCACACACTGCCACAGACGACCTAGAAAATAATGAGACGTATATAAATAATTATTAACAATTTAATTTTGTAGTGTTTCAGTTTAGGATTCTGAAGTATAACATGTTGTCTGCAATGCACTCATGTATCTACCAGTGTAGCTTTATCAAATCACCATACAATTTTCAAACGTCAAGTTAAAAGTTTCCTAAAACCGTATTAAACAGAGTTTCATGTCGTTGGAACATATACCATGTAACAGAAAATCATGATGCTAGGTTGAATGATGGTTCTATAACTGAACGTCACATGTCTACACGCTAGATGTCCTAGTATTCTTGATGATAAAAAGTATCCGTACCAGAACATTTCCTAAGTAAAGACGTCCATACAAAGGTTATTTGTTGTTGTTATATTGACATGTGTATTTAAAGCGATTACAGACAGGCGCTTTTGTGAACATGTTAATACAGTTTTGAGTTCCAAAAGAAGGCGAAAAATTTTACTAGCCGAGAGACTAACAGCTTCTCAAGAAAGACTGTGCTCCATGTAGTTAATAATTTGATAATTATAACACCCCCAGTACTACCATCACAATTACTTAACGTTTAAAGTAACAGATAGCATCAAAAACGAGGCAAAATTCACATGTTCTTTTTTACGGAAAACGACAACTATTGGAAAATTAACTTTGCCAGAAGATGTTTGACTTTATCTCCATATGTGTTACGATGGCGAAATGCATCTACTCCTATAATAGTGCGTCGTTCGTGACGTGCGGAAAACATATATAAAGATTACATTTCAAACGTGATTTTCAAAGATAATGCGGTATTAAATGTATTAATGTCAACGCAGAAAGTTTTCATTCAAGTCAACTTGGTAGTGTATTCATAAAGTTTCAATACGAGAAACGATGTTAAGTTGCAAATTACCTGCTAACTGAAAATACATAACCATTGACATTCTGGACGAAAGTAATGAGAGTACAAGCGATGTGTTCGTACCTACGGAGTGGTTCGTCCTGTCCGTGAAGCCAGCACCCATAATTTATAACGCTATTTCCCTCACCCTTGTGCCTCCCATAGCTACACGTCAATCGAGAAGCCTCCGCGCACGGATCGCCTGCAATTTCCTCGCAGCTCAGACAAAAACCTGCTTCAAATTCAGGAAACTGATCCAGGTGGAACTGCAGAAAAATAATAAATCTTTATAAGCCTAATGACACACGTGTATTCACATATCATTAAATAAATCATTAGATGTTTTATTTATTACAAGTTTATCGATTATGTTGTTCTGGATTACGATGCCACGTAGTCTTCTTGGGGGCTGGCATAGGAAAAACGCATCGCATCCATCTTGAATTTTACATAACATTTCAATATAATTACTATTATGAGATAATTCAATGATTTTTGGATGTGCTTGTAGACATTCTTTTGGAATAATTTCACTGGAATTAAAAACCAAACTGGAAATATGTACTTAAACTTAATTTTGGCGCCATATTTTTCAGCGATGGATACATAAACTGTTGCTTCTTCATGGTAGCATTATTATTATTATTATTATTTAGTGTTCTGTCTGACGACAGGTCCATATGAACAGGATCCTTCATCCTTTTCTCGGACTGGGACCTGTTCATATACGTTCTTGGCAGATGATCCAGAAGTGGTTTGCCATTGCCTTCTTCTGTGTGTGAATGGAGTAATTGTGGGGATGCCACGGAGGAAAACTCCGTGTTGCCGAGACCACGGCCTTGCCCAACACAAGTGATAAATTCGAACCCGAGTATTTATTTATTTATTTATTTATTTATTTATTTATTTATTTATTTATTTATTTATTTGTTTATTTATTTATTTAGTGTTGTGTCTGACGACAGGTCCATATGAACAGGATCCTTCCATCCTTTTACTGTTATTATTACGCGTTGTTAAAATTATTTTATGGTCAGTAGGAGGGTTATGACCATTTCGTGTGGTAAGGTGAGAATACGGTTTTATAAATTTGGGAACCCCTAATTTTATAAACTGCAGCTAAAGCACTGGTACTTGCCCTGGAACAACTATGCACAAATGTTTTCCTTCTTGTCAACGAATGGGTATCGAACATGTGTCAGTCTACTGAGAGGAATGCTATCTAAATTAATGACACATTTCCCGCAATTATATTTGGATTACTTTTGTTAGAATTTAGGACTCTAAACAGATAATTTTCCGTCCAATCACAGTATGCAGCTTACGCTAATAATTAGTATTTTTCCCAACTGTTACAGGACTTCAGACTTATAATAACAAATTTCCTTTTACACAGAAGTGAATTTGTAATCTAAAATATAGCTTCATATTTTCATAATTGTTGAACTGACTACAGCTGCACAATTCTGGCGAGAAGCGGTTGTTATGTACACAAAGCCCAGAGACGTGAGCAATCCAATACATCAGAGTCATTTTCAGACGTGCCGCCATGTTGCTTCGAGACTCTTACACGATTATAAGTGCCTCTGAATGAGGGGCGGTGACTGAAGACAGACGAGGGAAGGAGTTCGTAATTTCGGGAAGGTTTTCCTTTTCAGAAGATGTAATCTACACGGCCCGGGTGTGTAATATTGCTCCCGCTCAGCGGGAGTCATGATCGCAACGTACAGTCGCAGCAACCACAAAATCGACACCAGACAATTTTATTTCACACAATGGATAAATACACCTACCCTTCTGCTACGTGACCCGTGTAAACTACTGAAATTCCTCAATATGTAATATCTTTCTTTTCGCACATTTTACAGCATCTTCCTTCATGCTGTTAACATTTTCTTGAGAAGTGTCTTCAAACCTTTGACATCTTTGTTTTTCACTCAAATGAAGACGATAGGTTTCGCTACAAAAATAATGCTAGCCTTCTAGGTTGTGACACCTTGTAGTCTTGTGGGTGATTACTAATGCTTGGAAGGAAACTACTGCCTTTATCGTCATAGTAGAATATTTTATAGTAACACACGGCGTCACAACACAGACAGCCACAATCTCATTGCCCACAACCGAGTAAAGTCATAATTATAAAATACATTATCAAATAAATATTTGATAGGTTTTTATACATGGTTGTGAAACACAGTATTTCAATTTGAGGACCTGACATAAGTTACTAGACAAATGTATAAAAGCTTCGAAGGAGACCATGCAGAATTAGAGCACCACAGAGGAATTCCTAAATTTTTAACTTTTTATAAAGCTGTACAAAAACGGAAGTCTATATTGGAAACGGAGTTTATCAATTAACAAAACTCCATTTAAATGTATGAATTCAGGAGATAAAGTGTTAGAAATACATCGTGTTTATTTCCTTATAAGACGGGGGTACAGCCGAAAAATTAAGTATAATGAAAATAGTCCGAGGATGTATGTTCAAAACCTGTAATGATGTTTGAACAACTCTAGAAATCTACGAAGTAGAGAGAGAAAGAGAGGTATGTTAGCCTGTATACGAAGTAATTATTTCATCCCCTGAAGTGTGCTTGTAAGCGTACAGCAGCGTAAGACTATTTATTTTTTAGAAGATGCTTCTATATAACCATGATTATCAAATAAGAATTTTGGAAGGTTGATACACGTTCATAAAGTCAAAGCAGATAAAAGTTAAATTCGCATGAAACGAGCTACAGAGACGAATATAAGCTTTCCATTTCTATGACGGAGCAGAGTTAGTAAATGACATTGCCGTAAAAGACGGATATAACTCGTTATGCTGAGCGATGCCACCTTCTCAAGCAGGGATCTGCTCCAAGGCTTCTGTTTTCTGTAAATTTAATGTAAATAATGTCAGGCCCACATTACATCGTTACTTGTTGTGTATCTTAGCAAAATACGTGGCGAAATACTCATGCGAAGGTGCAAAACAATTAACAATTTGCTGAATGCGACGGATTATATTAGTAAAATCAAGCATTCTAATCCCCAATTATGTTATGAAAGTTTGTCCAGGTATACCTATATTAGATACAGTTGCATTTGATTTCGGATCAAAATCATACCCTTTGCAGTTTAATTTATATCGTCCGTAATATGTTCTACTGCCCAAATGCAGAATTAAAAATTCTTTAATCGTGCTCTGTACAGCTCAAACATCACCAGTCGTAAAATATTCAGATTCTCATACCAAATTTAAGTGCCTTTTTTAATATCAGTTTTCCAATATATAATAAACACTACGCATTTACCAGGGAATTAAATGAAACAAGTATAAACCGAATCAACTACGTAAATTACGTGTTATGAATGCAGGGACTGAACCCAAATGTCACATACAAACCGATTTGAATCCACCTTCTTATAACATCCAGACCTTTCATAGCTTTGATACCTGTCAACACGAATTTTAAATCAATCTCAATCTCGGGGTAAACGTCATACCGTTTTGCTGCAAGGCTATTGATTAGAGTGGATGTTACATGATAAATTACGTATTTGTTAGGATGAGACAGAATTCGGGCGTGACCTAATTTCAGAGATTATATAGCAACTGTCAAGGAAAGTTAGTCTTCCCTCTACACAGGCCAGCCAGATTCTCGTTTGTTCCAGAGGGCTACTTATCATGAAGCGACTGCTCTACACACGGCGAATTAATAGTCGCGGGCCGTACTGTCTACCCTCTTCAGTGTTCAATAAAGACAACACAACATAGATTTCTCGTTATTAAAGGTGATTTTAACACTTCGCACGAATTATTCTCCTTCATTTTCACTGTTTAGGCAATCAGCCTCTATCCGTACACGTGAGCTCTTTCCATCTGATTCTGGGTTCATTCGCGGTTTTTTCCTTCTGTGTTTACACTGTACCATTTTTCTAATCGCGAACCATCAGTTCATGTTTTATATTGATCCTTAAGAATTCTGAAGTACGCTATGATGTCACTGCACAACGAGAAGCTTCTCTAAAGTCTACGTGCCTCGTGGTGTTAGCAACAAAGATATTACGACGGGCGAAACATCGGAAGGGACAAGAGCGTTTACGTAAGGAAGCCTCTTGGAAGACGAAGAG